AATCATAACATGTACTAGCGGAATGATCTGGTATTGTAAAATAATTTTTTTATATGTTGCACACCGGGTGAAGGATCGGTCGTGTAGCATCGACGGTTCCTCCCTAAACTGAGATTAATCCGGCTTAGTAATTTTCTTATTTAATGGGAGTGCGTAGCACTTTAATTTTTCTTAATTAGTTATTTGATGTATTTCATTATTATAAAATAGGTTTATTTTTATCTGATATATACTATTGGTGTGATGTAATTTTTTGTCATGCATCTTATTTTATTACCGAGCCCAAGTTTGTATTTTGTTATTTTTATTAAATCGATGCGTTGGTAAAGATGATGTTATTAATTGGTAATTGTTTCATCAGAATTATGTTATCAATGACGGTATTATTCACTTTGACTGAACTGTAATGTATTATATTTCATAATTGAAATTCACTCTAATTTGAAATTGTAGTCATTGTGACATAATACATTATCATTTTTTTTATATAGTTAAGATGACAGTTTGTTGGTAAAAGGTTGAAGGTCTTTTTTTACATTCATAATATACATGATGCCATGTTATATCGATACGATTGTAAAAATTATTCAAGTTTGTCAATCTGATAATTTAACTCGTGTATGGGAAATAGGCATTTATCCGGTTGAGTGTGAAGATTGTGAACTAGAGATGGTTCTTTTCGTTCCTATAAATGATCATGAGAGAGATCCTAATTCGCAATCTGTTTTTGTAACAAATGAGTATTACAGTGTTGGTTGGAAGCTTCGCTTGGAAATTATAACGGGAATTTAAGATTAAAAGTAATTGCTAATTTATTTAATTTGTTTGTATGCAGCATATTGTCGTTAATGATATTCTATTTTAATTTTTTATCAATTCAGATGACTGTCGCGACATCTACGCACCTTACGATCCGAAGAGATTCTGGTTCAAACAGGTGTTCATTAAAGTTTCATTAGTTGATGTTATCCAATATGTAACGAAAGAAGTTGATGATGAAAATGCAATAATTAGAGTATCGTAAAGGATAATATTGGTCAATATGATAGTTTTACTGTTAAGATTGTATTTCCATATCGTAATAATCGGTTTAAGCATTTAATGAATTCTATTCAACTAGATGAATCAGTACTCTTTGTTGTAGGACAAAAGGAAGTTATACAAGGAGATTTATACTCATATGCTGTCGAGACTTCTTTTATTAATGTTTATTCTGCGGATAAAAAAAAACTTCATGTTCTCAAACTACACCAGGGTTATATAAGTCATTCCGATCAAGACTTTTAACTGATCATCAAAATGCTAGTGAAAATTTATCTAAAACAAATGTGATTGAAAATAACAGTAAGGATGTTGAAAACAAATCAATCTATAATTGACCCGTCTTCCTCTGATAATCAATCATTTGTTTCCGATACTCATTCGTCTAGACTAATGATGCCTGACGAAACTATTTGGCGCTGACGAAATGGTTTCGTCAATGGTTTCGTCTGACGAAACTTGAC